TTTTTTTTTTTTTTTTTTTTTTGAGAGAGAGAGACAGACAGACAGACAGAGTGTGAACAGGGGAGGGGCAGAGAGAAAGGGAGACACAGAGTCTGAAGCAGGCTTCAGGCTCTGAGCTGTCAGCACAGAGCCCCATGCAGGTCTTAAACTCAGGAAGCATGAGATCATGACCTGAGCCCAAGTGGGACACTTAACCAGCTGAGCCCCCCAGATGCCCCAGGAAGTGTTGACACTCAGTGTCTGCAGTTCCTCTCTTTCCATTCTCTCGTGAACCCACATATCAGGCTTTTGTACTCTTGCCGCTCCACCATAATTGCTTTGGTCAAGGTTGACGATGTCCTGATTGTGAACTGCAGTGGTCAGTTCTTAGTATCACTTGGCTCTGGGGGGTGTTTGACAGAGGTGATCACATTGTCCTTGGTACACTTTCTTCCCATGCCTTCCCTTGTCTCTTGGTTTTCCTCACAGATTTGTCCTTCTCAGAGGACCTCCTCCTCTGCTAACTTCTTTTTTTCCTCTGCAGATCAATAATAGAGTGTCCCAAGGTATGGTCACTGGACTTCTTTTCTTCTCTGCCCACAATCTGTCTATCCCTTACTTAGCTCATCCAGGCTCTTGGCTTTAAATATCATTGGTATGCTGACAGCTCCTGAATGTCTGTCTCCAGCCTGGATCTCTCCCCAGGGCTCTGGGCTGCTCAACAGCTGCACTTAGATATGTAATACACATCTTCGACTCAACACGTCAAAAACTAAATATGTCTTGATCTTTCCTGCCAAATCCATTCCATATACAGACCTCACCATTTCAGTGACGGCAATTCTATCCCCACCCCCACCCCCCCAGTTGCTCAATCCAAAAACCTTGAAATCATCTTTGATTCCTTTCTTTCTCTCAGACCCACATTTAATCTGTTGGGAAATTCTGGTGGCTCAGCCTTCAAAATATACACAGAATCTGTCCAGCTCTCCCACCTCTACTGCCACCACCCTGGTCCAGGCCACCTTCTTATCTAGCCTAGTAGCCTCTGTCTGGCCTCCCAACTTTGTGCCCCAACAGACAATTCCCAACACAGCTGCCAGTGT